TCATCTCTTTTCCGGTCCACTGTGAAACTCTACTGTATTCTTTATTGGGGGGAGAATAGCCGGGATAAGCTGGTAAACTCTTCCAAACCGCGTCGAAAGCCTGCAGCCTCTTATATTTCTTGAGAAATCCGATAATCCACTTCATGAGATGAGTCTCAAATATTCCCAAGTAGACAACATGCAGGATATCCGGTTTCGGCAAGTGAGCTTGGTGAACGGCTGGAAGGCCCCAAAAGACGCTTGGACGCAACTTGAACCCGCGATTAATCAAATCTTCACCAGCATCCGTACTGCCGTTGGAGTATTCGGCAAAAAGAGCTTGGTATTTGTTGTAATCGCGTATGGCCGCAGAACGTCCTGTATAGTACCCTAACCGATCCGCCGGGACTTCGCAAACAGCACACTGATTTTGTTGAATTCCATGCAATGTAACATTTTCCAAATGATCGGCAATCCAGGCAGCAAGGCGTGGAAAACACTGCCGAACCTTGCCATCGGCACATTCAATCTCCATTCCGGCTTCAGCAACATCCCCTATCGAAGTGAAAATAGCTTCCATCAGCTCACAAAGGATTTCATTGTTCACCAGTCGCTGCCTTGAATCTCGGGATGCTACGCCTAGCATCTTGGGTGGGACAGGTAAAAGTGCCAATAGGACGCTCGCATGCTTAGAAGATTTGTTTCTTGTTTTCGATAAGATATTACCAATGGTTAGGTAAATCGGCCATGCTTTCTTATCTCCCGAGAAGTTTGTTAGGAACGTAACATCGGAAGAACATATGATCGGTACGAGTGTTGCTCCTTCGGGTAAGCTATCCTTCACAACTCGTTAACCTTGCGCTTGACCACGGTGTAGTAAAGACTCAAAACGTCAAAATTTAACCTACCTGAGTCTCCCACCACCAATCCCCCGTGTGCATCTCTGAATAAACTCTCGCCGGAGGTGTTTCACTATTCCAATCCTTTATCGGGGCATAAACAATATCTTGAGCGAAGCATTTTTGGCTGAGCAGATATTTCGCACAATCGAGAGGATTGCGGTAAAAGAATCTCTGCTGTGATGTAGCTACCTCTAACTCGTCTGCGTCCTCAATGTCCTGTTTTTGGTTAACTAAATACTTGGATAGAATAGATACGCTTACCAACTCAGTGAATGATACCAAGCCTTCTTTCCAACTTCTCATTCCCAAGCCCGATTCTAGTTCATCAACGGTATGAAAAAGACGATACACGGATTTAATTGTACTGTTCTCCGGCCCCAATCCATTCTTAAAATACCTATCAATATGCTCCTTGGGTACCTTTGCTTCAATGAACCACTGTGCAAGTTCAAAGTCTGTCTTGTTTTGAAAGGGTGCCCATAGCTCATCTTCAGCCTTTTGATGTTGTACAACGTCACGCAGAACTCTTCCAGCAGTGTGATGATTTGTTGGTGCCCGTGATTCAACAAAATCTGTGATACGATCTTCTCTTTCAGAAAGGTTAAGACTCTCAACGTCTGAATCTGCTATGCTGTGGTCCGATTCTGGTTCGTAATCTGCTATTTGGATCTCGATTGAATTGTGTAGTTCATGTGTTTCGTTCGGTTCCGGAAAAGGATTTGGAGGCTGTACGATGTCTCCGAATGTTTGTTGTACAGCTTGTGGAGGCCGTACAAAGTCCGGGTGCTGCTTCTCAATGTGGTTTCTGTACCAAGTACTCGACCTGTACTTTTTATTGCAGTATGGGCATTGTGACACCTGTACCATTCTGTAATGTTATCCTGTTAGATTCAGTAAGGACTTTAGAAGGCACAAAGCAGGCTAATAAAGCACTAAAAATATCAAACGTACCTCGCGATTTGTACAGATAGTAGGTCTTCGGAAAACAATAGGGATAACTATCAGAAGGAACCAAGTAGGGTGTGAACGTGATGCTCTCCAGTAGTGCTATCCTTTATGATTGATAATAGGATAGCCCTCCTCTTGCTTAAGCCCGCTGCTCGCCTGATTGTCAGCCCTTGACCCGTTGCTTTGAGGACTCTTCACGTGCGCCACATTCTATTCCTAATTTGTATATAACTCCTGACTTTCACTCTCAGACCACCATGAATATTACAACCAGACCTTCTACGGTACCTGAATATGAAGACTATCAGCGGCTTAATTCCACCGTTAACAGTCCGTTTTTTCCCCTCATACACATTTCCTCATTTTGTGGCTCTGTCAACCATTATCCAATATGAGTACGAACCAAGCTAGCACCTTTCTTTACACATCTCGCTCCTGCTCTGCCAAGGCTAAAATTCAAGTTTGCTTGACTTATGAGTTCAAGTGTACAACTCTGATGTGTTGGATGTTGAAACTCACTTTGCTGTACGCGGGTACAATTATTTGAACGTTTGAAAAAGCTTTTCAAGGTTCCGTTCAAGACGGTTTTCGTCTTTTTCTTAAGCAGTCTTCCGAACTCGAAACTTGAGTCTACAACAAACACCTTGAATTGTTCGCTCTCCTGCTATATAGAACCCCTCCCAGCTCCCCTTTTCGCCTTTCCTCACCATCATATCCATTCACCGCAACTGCACAGCATTGATAGGATTTCATTTGCAACATTTAAAGGTATGTTTACTACCCTTCTCGGCTGACTGGACCCTAGCTAATAAGTATTAAGACTGCATCCTCTTGTGTTACCCCCAGCCTCCCATCATCTCACACGAGCCCTCCCGTCATCTCACATGAGCTCTAATTCAATGCAGAACAGCCAAATTAAGCCGCTCTCGGGCTCTGTTTAATTCCTCATACTACATCGGCTTCCAATTTACTCGGGAGCATTGAGCAAGATCTACTACGAGTAAGTGCTCGGTAAAGACTTCCAAAAGCCAGAGTAGTCATTCCTTGAAAAGAATAGAAACTAATTAGTGTTTGCTAGATTGGGTAGATAAATTTCCTGTTCTAACTACCACTACTGCTTTCTTTTTTTTTACCTCTTATTTCATCCAGGTTGGCCTCCTGCCGTCCTATTGCTCCTTTTCTTCGCTTCTTAATCTAATTAGTTGTTAGAATGGTTTCAACTGCCGAATTCAGAACCGAGCTAAACCTGACTGGGCGTGGTGGCACTGTTGCCGGCAGGAGATACCGTGAAGTGAGGAAATTCATCCTGCAGAAGTCTCGCGAAAGGAAGGTTACCTCTAAGAGGCAGGCTGGGGAAGATACATGGAACGATTTGAGGACAGATGCCGTCTCCCATCCTTCTCTTCAGGGCTTCCGAGCCAAGTTCGACAGCCCCCATACGGGCCCCTTCGCCAATTTCCATCGCGCTCTCGATTCACTGATCCTTGACGTCCTCAAGAAAGCCGCAGAGTCACGTCGAGCGGCACGTATGAACTCCGATGATGAGGAGGAAAAATCGCTCGCTGGCCCTTCCGGCACCCAACCTGAAGCCGTCGTTCGTCCCCCTCCTACCATCTACGAGGAGAAACCATTCAAAATTATTTACATCGAAACTATGGCTGCCCCCCAAGGCACTGCACGCTCGCTTCCCTGGATTGTTCCTATAGGGGGGGTGGCAAATCGGAATTGGTTAGGGGTTTTAAAGCACTATACTCTTCAAGAGCTTGGAGAAGCCGTTTGTAAGCATCTTGACGACGGCGAACATCCCCGAAAGCTAGTGGGTATCCTCGAGGATATCCAACCCCTCAATGCCACCCCCGACGCAACCCACCAGGTGGAACTAATCGATGACAACCAAATCAACGCCTGGGTTCGTCTCTCAAACGCCAAACCTCTCACAGTGGCCTGCTTTCTCCACCGTGCCCCAGTTCCCCCTCCCGATGGCCCTCCGGACGCCCCTCTTGTTCGTCCGAATACTCCTCTCACCAGGCGTGGGGATCGCTACTTGGAACCAGGCCAATTCGATGTGGCCGAGTTTTACACTGAACCAGCTAGCGATTCCGAGTTGGAGGATGATTTGGCATACCGTACAAAGCGCCGAAAGGGCTTTCCTCGGTCCGATGGTGGTTGGCGGCGAAGAATTCAGACTAATGACCGGCGAGTCCTTAGGTTCCAAAACCATTCTCGTGAGCTGATCTCCCGGGCTCGTGTCAACCAGGGCCCAGACTATATGTCCTCTTATGGAGATCTGAACGACCATGTTCTTCCTCTCCCGCCTGGGGTTCCCCCTCCAGGCTGTAATGCGCCTTAGGTGCGGTATTGTGATTCGGGCTAGACTTTTGAAGGGTTCTTTGGGCTGGGCTTCGTCTTCTTTGGGCTATGACCCGGGGGTTTTCTTTCTTTCTTTGCTTTCTTTGGGCTGGGTTTCGTTGGGCTATGACCCGGGGTTTTTTTTCTTTTTCTTTCCTTTCTTTGCTTTCTTTGGGCTGGGCTTCGTCTTCTTTGGGCTATGTCCCGGGGTTTTCTTTCTTTCTTTACTTTCTTTGCTTTCTTGGTTCTTGGGTTTACTTTACTAGTAGCTTTATATTTCTTGGGTGTTCTGGCTTTTTCTTGCTTTCCGATGTTATATTGATCCATTTGTCATCCTATTTAGGACTTTTCATTTCACCATATTCTTTACTCGTAATTCTTAGTAGCATGTTAGTTTCTGTTAGTGGCTCTGGGCACCAATTGTTAGTCGGCATGTTTTGACCTTTAGACATCCTATTTAGCTTGTATCATGAATTAGTTTCGCCCAGAATAGTTATAAACACGACCTTTTCTATATTTTTAATTAAGCCCGTATGATAAACTGTGTCAGGCCTCAAGCGTTCCAATTCAATCTCCGCTTGGTCCTTTTGTGACTCAGGTACGTCGCCTTGGTGACGGGAAAAGGTTAAAGAATGTTTACGATTCTTCGAGTGTAGGACCGTGATGGACACAGACCACCTTCTAGCAATGCTCTATAAAAGGTTTATTTGTCCTCAGGAGGACGTCCTTGAGTGTAAAAGGCCGTATAGCAACAACTTGAACTTTGTACAACCTGTCCACCATTCCACCTGGCCCCATAATTCTACTGCTGACACAGCAAAAATGAACGGAAATACGAGCAGAGGTGTGTTTAGGACTCTGGACCTAATATATAAACTATACACAGTACTAAATAGATCCCGAGCAGCCATATCCAGATTCTCACGGCCATCAGCATCCGCGCTAAGGTCTTCACATTCGGTCATAGATATTGATCTTCAATCGCAGCAAGATGAACAGGAAGGAAATTTATTTGCCAACGATGATGCCACGGATATTGATGAGAATAGTGATGAGGCTCCTCAGCGTCACCAGAGAGTCCAGAAACGTTCTGTTGAAGACCATTCACAACATCCACAAAGAGCAAAGAGGCTGAGATTTGTAAGTTAGAATTTAAGGTCTTTGATATAATCTGCTAATAAATAAAGCTTACTGCGGACTCACCATCACCGGCTCTTAGTGGACCTACCTCGGCATTTTCATCACAGAGCCAGCAAGCCCAAATACATTCTGGCCATCGCAGGGTTAATTCACCACATTTCACACCCTCAATTTTGGGCTCACAGCCAATTTTAACTCATCCAAATGGACGTCAAACGGCTGCCAGTGAAGAAGACAACTTGAATAGTGCATCCGATATTGTTGATACGGTAACTTCACTTTCAGATCGGTCAAACTTTATGCGGGGTGAGGAAAGGATAGTATTTGAAAACGCGGCAAATATGGTCCGGTATCATACCTGGTTCGTTAACCCTTTTGTCAAGCCATCTGAGAATGATTCCCTATTGGAAAGTTACTGGGTGAAGGCAGCCAGCAAGCTTGGCTGGCCCGGTTTGGCAATGCAGAAGCATGCCATGACTTTTGTGAGTACAAAATAGCCGAAGGGCGTCTCCTTGTGGCTCTTTCCAAGCTGATTCAATCTCTCCAGTTGAAATCAAGGCAGTCCAGCGCCCGCTCTCATCTTGTTTCGGAGACCAGAATTACTGTACAGGACTTTTATGACCTTCTACACAAGCAACCGGCAGAAATTCGAGCAAAGGTTGGCTATTTGCTTGAAGATGATCGTTTTACATGTCATCCAAGCAAGCAGGAGGTAGGTTTAACTTGATGGAGTCAGGAAGGGGACGGAGAAAAGCTAATTTGAGCAGAATTGCGGCTTCCGGTTTGGTGCACCAGAGATAGCAAAACTGTTATACCACAAGTGGTTCCGCAATGTTAAGATGCGAGGACGAAGCGATAAATCCTTTCTCAGTCGGATTAATGATGTCTTGATATGTCTTACAGCGGCTTGTATTTACCATGCCTTAAAGTCGTGGAGCACAGGGACCTTCGTGCAGCCATCAGATTTCTCTGCTTTAACTGCACAAAGTAGGTTTGACCCTTTCACCGGAAGATATTGGATGTTGTGAGGCTAGTATTAAAGTTGTACTAATTAAATCAGATGTTTACTTGCGCCAAAGGGCTACATGGCAGCGATTACCAGTGGTGGTTCAAAAGAAGCTGGTTGAAGATACGAAGAAACGAATAAAGCGCTTACTTCGTGATAATGGGTTCGTTCAAGAACATGAATCTCGTGCGGCACTAGAGGACCCGGACGCTGCAGAGTATCTCGGGGTACAGGTTTCTGGGGATGAGGAAAGCGAGGTAGAGGATAATAATTTGGACCTGGAAGCGGAGGATGTGATTGACGGGCTTGTGGAGGGTCCTGATGAGGACGAATAGCGGTTAATAGGCAAAGGATAGCAATTGTTAATTAATATTTCAATCAATGAAAGGGAAATTGTAATATTCTAAGATAAAGGGGTAAAAGGACGAGAGAGGAATAATATATAAGGTTCGAGGTACCCAAAGGTCACGGTGTAAACAAACTATGTAATAAGGGATTTATATTATCACCAGACAAAAGCGAGGCATCATGCCGTGGTCCGTACAAAGTTAATATAAAAAGGTTGGTCAAGAGTCGAGAGCAATGCAAAAGTAGCAGGAGAGAGTAGCCATGAATGAGGAACGTGTGGAGGTGGGAATAGAGAACTGAGATGTGAGGCGTCATAATAGGGACGCGAAGGGTCGTTAATTGGTCGTTTGATAGAGAGGAAAAGGTTTATGCAAGACGTAAAGCGTGAAGCACGCGTTCGAGGAGACGGTACGTGAAAAGATCACGGAGCTGAGAGATGTGGTGAAAAGGTCGCAGAACGTCCTATTGAGGACGGGGAATGGTGAAATGGTTCGATAGGAGGGCTAAAAGGCAAGGTAAGAGTGATCGGGTTCTGGATGAGGTATCGAAGACAGAATAAAAAGGGATATAATACAGCTTGTTAAGGACGTTGAAGGACATGAGGTCTCCAGGGAGAGAAACAATAGGACGGGTCGCTGGTGGCGAGGGGAGGTGAAACCGGAGAATTCAGGGCGAGTGGGAAAATATTAATTAGCGCCGGGCAACAGGAGATTAGCGCTGTTAAACGTCCTAATAGAAATAGTCAATCGGGAGACGGCATGAGTATGTAGCTCAAATAGGCTAATCCTGATTCATACATATTACCCAACAGCCGGAACAGGGTCTACATCAAAGGGAGTTTTATAATTTTGCCTCATATACCTCATATACCTCATGAGGTAGAGGGGGTAAATGTGAACTTTGGCTGAT